GACATACTGAGTTTCCCCCAAATCTTTCATTTGAAATTCAGTAGCTAGCCACTTCTTTATGTCAGTGAGTTATCCTACATCATTCCCAATGAGTAGGGTATCATCCACATACAATACTAAGAAGGCTATTGTGTTGTCGACGATTTTCTTGTATACACAAGGCTCATCAACGTCTTGGTCAAAACCATAAGATTTGATCGCAGTATCAAACCTTATGTTCCAAGATCGAGATGCTTGTTTCAATCCCTATATGAACCGTTTAAGCTTGCAAACCTTTTGCTCTTGACCTTGAGCTATGAACCCCTCGGGCTAAGACATATAAATACTTTCTTCAAGATTGCCATTCAGAAAGGCAGTTGACATCCATTCGCCAAATCTCATAGTCATAATATGTGGCAAAGGACAAAAGTACTCTTATAGACTTAATCATAGCCACATGGGAAAAGGTTTCTTCATAGTTCACCCCTTCCCTTTATGTGTAGCCTTTCACCACAAGTCTCATATTTTAGGTCTGTACATTTCCTTCGACATCTCGTTTTCTCTTGTAGATCCATTTGTACCCCTATGGGTCTTACCCCGTCAGGTTGGCCTACAAGTTCCCAAACAGAATTGAAGTACATAGGCTCCATTTCCAGGCCCATGGCTTTAACACATTTGTCATTGTCCATATCTTCCATTTGCACCCCTATGGGTCTTACCCTGTCAGGTTGGCCTACAAGTTCCCAAACAGAATTGAAGTACATAGGCTCCATTTCCAGGTCCATGGCTTTAACACATTTGTCATTGTCCACATCTTCCATTGCCTGCTTGTAGGTCAATGAATCCTCGATGCCGTCATCAAGTATGACAATTTGGGTTTTAACTAAACCCACGTAGCGGTTAGGTTGTGACACAATTCTCCCACTACGTCGAGGCACCCTCAATTCTTGAGGTGGATGTGACTGACGTGATGTACTGGCTTCATCAACAATTCTTGTCGAAATGTCTACTTGATCGACAACTCTTGTTAACGTATTTGTAGCCTCTTCAGAAATCTCATTTATCACTACCTTACTTCATGGTTTATGATCTCGAACGTGGTCTTCTTCCAAGAAGGTGGCGTTTGTCAATACAAACACTATGTTATCTTGAGGATCGAAGAAGAGACCACCTTTCGTCTCTTTAGGGTAACCTACGAATAAGCATACTTTTGAACGAGGTTCCAATTTCTTTGGGTTAGTCACGAGCACATGTGCTGGACATCCCCAAATACGGAAGTGGCGTAAATTAGCTTTTCGACCCTTCCATAGTTCAAAGGGTGTTTCAGAAACACTCTTCGAGGGAACTACGTCTAAAATATAAACCGCAATCTCCACTACGTAACCCCAAAACAAGTTAGGCAACTGAGCATAGTTCATCATTGAGCGAACCATATCTAATAGGGTTCAGTTTCTCCTTTCTGATACACTGTTCTGTTGTGGTGTACCAAGGGCTGAGAGTTGGGACGTGATTCCATGTTCTATCATATAGTCCTAGAATCTCAAGTCCATATACTCTCCACCCCGATCAGATCGAAGTGTTTTAATGGTTTTACCTAATTGATTTTCAACTTCGGTCTTGTACTCTTTGAACTTTTTGAGGGTTTCGGACTTGTGTTGCATCAGGTATAGATAATCGTACCTTGAGTAATCATCTATAAAAGAGATGAAATATTCATACCCTCATTGAGCTTTAACATTCATCAGACCACATCTAAATGTATAAGTTCTAAGGGCTCTTTGGTTCTATAGCTTTTTCCAGTAAAAGGTCTTTTAGTCATCTTGCCTTCAAGAAAGACACAAGGTGGTAAAGAGTTGTCTTCTAACTCGCTTAGAAGACGATTTTAACCAACCTTCCAATCCTATTGAGATTAATGTGACCTAATCTTAAGTGCCAAAGATAGGTATTTTCTTTATGAGAAACTTTTTGCCTTTTATTTTGAGTTTTAGAATTTTTAAACAACTCGGTATTTAAAGCTGCTTTACTTATGGTTGGTCATAGCACATACAAGTTGTTTTCAAGCTTAGCAGAAAAAATCTTTACAGCATTTCTAGAAATGAATGCTTCATTTAATTGAAAGGAAATGGAATAAAAATGTTCTAACAAATAAGAAATTGAAATTAAGTTCCTTTTGATTTTTGGAACTATGTACACATTATCTAATAATATATACAAATTCTTGTTCATAGACAACTTAAGCTCCCATAGGCCAGACATTAGCTATGCAGTAGGTATGGTGAGTAGGTATCAATCCAACCCAGGATATGATCACTGGACTACTGTTAAGGAAATCCTCAAGTATCTTAGGAGAACAAAGGACTACAAGCTCGTGTATGACTCTAAGGATTTGATCCTTACAAGATACACTGACTCTGACTTCCAAACAGACAAGGATTCAAGGAAATCCACGTCGGGGCCAGTGTTCACTCTTAACGTTGGCAAAGCATCAAACAATGATGCATCGCAAACTCCACCATGGAGGTTGAGTATGTTGCCACTTGTGAAGTAGCAAAAGAAGTGGTTTGGCTTAGGAAGTTATTGATCGATTTGGAAGTCGTTCCAAATATGAACTTTCCCATCACACTTAATTGTGATAATAATGGTGCTATGATAAATTCTAAAGAACCTCGAAGCCATAAGAGAGGCAAGCACATAGAAAGGAAGTACCACCTAATACGGGAGATAGTGCAATGAGGGGATGTAATCGTCACAAAGATCACTTCCGCGCACAACATTGCTGGTCATTTTACGAAGGCTCTCACGACTAAAGTGTTTGAGGGCCATCTAGAGAGTCTAGGTCTACGAACATTGTACGATTAGTCTAGGGCAAGTGGGAGAAATGTAATGGGTATAGTATATGCCCTAGTTTATTGTATTTTCCCTTTGCTTTATGATTATGTACACCCCACTCGAGTTTAGTTCAAGTGGGAGTTTGTTGGGTGTATTGCCCTAAACTCGCAGTTTGTATTTATGTAAAAACAAATTTATATTCAATTAATTTGTTGTTGAATTCATAACATTGCATTGTCTAAATCCAATAAACTAAACATCCAAGGTTATGATCATGTTAACCGGGATAGTATATATACTAGGTATATATTTGATATACCCTCGATATACAAGTGGATAATGTCGTGGGAATAACCTAAAAGGTCTATTGTATATGGATAAGGTTGGGTACCTTATACTGGCAACACTATGGATACGACCCACATTGTAAATGATCCAGGTCGTTCGTGTAGAACATGCGAGTAGAGGTATCCTATACAATGAGTTTGTATAAGACCGGACCGTGAAATAGCCAATCTTTAGATGTAACATTGTTGACTCACAGATTGATATTTCATAGGATGACCAAGCAGCTCATTCTCAATTCTGAGTGAGTTATGGACTCTTGCCCGTAAGGACTCGTTTTTTGATCTGAATGGGTGGAGTGGCCCGAGTCACCGACTCAACATTCCCACCATTTTGGGGACGAGACCGAGCGGGGAGTTGGGAACATAACTACACAAGATGACATTCACTCCTCCCCGACTTTAGGGGAGTAGATGAGTGTTCCCTTTAGTGCTGAGTCCGGGACTTGAACAAGGGTTCTGACCCTCTCATTGGCCCGAGAGGGACTTCCGATTATTGGTCGGGCCATAACCGGGTTCTTCATTAGAAGATCAACGGTACTTAAGATACAAGATGTAACACAGGGGTAAAATGATAATTTGACCTATCTATGGTTACGAACACTCATGAAGGATTGACTTGCCGTTAAAGGTTGATATCCGTGGACACATAAATATTCTATAGTGAGAAGAGTTGAGTTGTGGGTTTTTAATGGAGTAACCCATAATTAATGTATGTTGATTAAGGTGGTTAATGAGTTCAACCAATTAATCTCGTTCTTCTAATCTATAGGTCGATTAGGTCCCCTTGCTAGCTCGTAAAGGATAATTAAGAACATTAAGTCTTAGAAGGAATTTGAATTGTTCAAATTTAATTAAAGGGAATTTGAGTTCATTGTGTATGACACAATTTAATATAATATATGATGATACATTATAACACTTTATATTATGAGAGAATAATATGAATTGGATTCATATTAAAACTATAGGTTGAAAAGTTAATGTGAATTGGATTCATATTAAATACTATAGGTTATGAGGGATATGTATATTTGAATATGGTTCAAATATTATTTAATTTAATCAAATGAGATCTAATTAAATTATGTTTAATTAATTAAGATTTTATTAATTATTAATTAAATATAATTCATTAAATTAAAATAGTTTTAATTTAATTAATCATAATTAAATAAATTGTTAAACTAAACAACTCACCACTCCTCGACTTCCCTGTGGTTTGGTTGTTCAATTTTCCCTATATAACATATCTCTCTCTCACAATCTCAAGTATTTTCTCGGTACGCTTTATTTTCCAAGGAGGATCCCACAATTCGGTTCTTGTTGATAGAGTCATAGCAAGGAAACTACGTGTTAGTGTCAATCATTTGGTTCATGCGTTTGGGTTCGTTTGTTCGTGCCAAAACAAATTACGTGCTTGAGGAAGAAATGTTGTCAACGGTTTTCAAACGTAAGTCCTTCTCTTGCTGCCAAGAGGCTTAACCTCATTTTTAATAGAAATGTTCTATTTTTGAAAACCAATAATGTGTAATTTCTAAACCGAGACGAATCACAAGTGTTCAACCGCTTCCGCTGGAGATTCCATCCCATCAAAATTGACACCTTAATTCATATTAAGTGTTAGTTTAGTTATTCTCATCATCCTTAATGTTATTCTTTGATTAATATGGAACGCTATCGTGCCCAGTTGATTAATTAATAAAATTTAATTTTGATGCTTAGTCTAAATTAATTACATTAAGAGAATTAAAACATATGACTGTTTCGAGTGAGTAGACTAAGTTCTTGAATCAAGAAACTAATTTTGTGTAAAACCTACGATCAAACCCAACGTAAGGTATATCCCTATCGATAAGGCCTCTCATTCATGCACTCTAGACTTACTTCAATTGAGGTATATCCCGTAATCTTTTTGAGCTCCTGCTCGAGCATGAGTCCTCTAACATACTTTACTGAATCCCATTGCCTTGCTTCGGCATATATATTCGACAGGGTAATGTAGATGCTGGAATTTTTAGAATCCAAGGAGAGTAATCTGTCAGCAATTTTTACACCCAATTCAATGTCCTTGTGCATCAGACATCCATTCAGCAGAGTTTCAAGTATACCACTGGTTGGAATGAATGGCATCTGATTGATCAATGCGTCAGCTTGCCGAAGACGTCCTGCTCGACTCAAAAGATCAACAAAACAAGCGTAAAGCTTATCAGTAGGCGTTATGTTATGATCTTTCTTCATACTGCTAAACAAAGAGACTCCTTCTTCCACCAGGCCTGAATGGCTACAAGCAAATAGCAGGGAAACAAAAGTGCTCTCATTTGGCTGAAGTCCCTCTCGTTCCATTTCACGGTAGACGCACAGTGCTTTATGTCCAAGACCGTGAGTTCCATAGCCCGAAATCATTGAGTTATATAAAATCACATCCTTGGGTGTAAAAAAACCATACTTGAATACCTTCTCAGCTGAGTCTATTTTGCTGCACTTTGCATACATATCAATGAGGGCTGTCGTAGCGATAGCATCAGAAGAAAAACCGAAACGAATCAAGATAGCATGCACACTTCTCCCTTTATTTAATGAGCCGAGGAGCGTGCAGCAGTGCATTAAACTAATTAAGGTAAGAGCATTGAAACTAACCTTCTCGTTTTGCATCTGATTAAATAACCTCAGGGCATCTCTAGCATGCCCATTCTGTGTCAATCCCACAAGCATGGCAGTCCATGATATCACATTCTTACTTTTCATTCTCTGGAAAAATGAAAATGCATATGCCAAGGATCCACATTTAGCATAAAGATCAACAATTGCGGTAGACAAAATCAAATTCAAATCAAGTCCACTTCGATAGACGCAACCGTGGAGAATCTTCCCGCCATCCAAATCCACTGCATGAGAACAAACCTGGAGGAGGCTAACAATGGTAGCTGAATCAAAACCTCCATCACTTGTAACCAACATCCGAAAGAGATTTAATGCTTCGAGAGGCAAACCATTTTGAACGTAACCCGAAATCATAGCATTCCAAGACACCAAATTTCTCAAGGGCATGGAATTGAAAATCCATCGAGCAGTTTTGATGTCACCCGTTTTACAATACATATCAATCAATGAGGTAAGCACCCTTGTATCACTACTCATTCCAAATCCAAGAATGTAGCCATGAATACATTTTCCAAACTCTACATTTCCTGTCTCCCCACAGGCTTGAATCAGGCTTGTCATGGTCACAGCAGTAGGTTCAATTCCGCTAAAAAGCATATCAAGAAACACACTAAAACCTTCACTATACAAGCCTTCCTTCATGAACCCACCAATCATCACATTCCAGCAGACAACATCTTTTCCAAGCATTTGATGAAAAAACTTTTGTGCACCCTTAATATCACCAGTTTTCACTAAAAAATTCAAAATTGAACTTCCTAAAAACTTACCTCGATCCCACCCCATATACACAGCTAATCTAATCACTTCCATCCCCATTTCATAATCCAGTAAGAACGTGCACGCCTTAAGAGCAAAATTACAAGTATAACTATCAAACTCCAAATCACACCGACCCATAATCTTAAATAACTCGATACTCTCAACATAATGCTCATTTTGCAGATACCCATTAACCATGGCATTGCAGAGGACAGTTTTTGGATGAGGAAAATTATCAAACACCTTGCGTGCATGCTCCAAACTACCCAAACGCGAGTACACCGCAACGAGTTTTGAAGCCAAAAAATGGTCGCTGGATAGGGCGTTAGTGATAATAAGCTGGGCGTGTATGGATTTGACACACAAAATGTTGTGGGGAAATTCTTGGAGAAGTGAGAAAAATAGTTGAATACTGGGTTGGGGGAAGCGGAATATGGCATTTTTTATGGAGGAAGAAGAGGTGTGTGAAACGAAGCTTCTATGAGGCGAATGATGGAAGCGAAGGAAAGGCGACATTAAAAGAAAGAAGAGGGAGGAGAGAGGAAGAAAGGCATAGCCATAGGATAAGAAACTCTTGAATCTGTGAAGTATTGAGCCAGGATTTTGGGTAATTGCCAAACGTAGGCACATTGAGTTGTGGTATAGATCTTATTTCCTGTCTTCACGCCTCTCGACATCCAGCCTCTTTCATTGGTGGCGTTTCAGCAAACGCAGAACTCGACGATGCAAATAACCATCAAACTCGACCGGCAGTGACTTGCACATTCCACACCTTGCGAAATAAAATGCCTTTGGCCCGATGGTTTCCCCTTTGTAAGTTATTGTGCCCCACAACCACGTCCTGTTTTATTTTTATTTTTTAAATTTATTTTTATTGTTTTTGTTTTTAAAAAATATATATATATATTTACTGTTTTTTTTTCCTAAATATATTTTTATTCATTTTTGCTATCTAAGTATATTTTTATTGATGAGAGTTAAAACAAATCACTAAAATTGGGTTTCAGTTCTGTTGTTAGTAACATATGGGCCTAATTTCTAATTTTGTTAATGGGCCTAGTACAAATACATTTTCCTATAAATAACCCATGACTTATATTGTGAATGATGATGAATTCAAGATAATACCAGCAGAATTCATTCCAATTCTTGATATTTTGAAATTGTATCTGTAATGTCTAACGACAAATTGTAGAAGATAGACAATGACAGATTCCATGGAGGCAAATTCTGAAATTACTGCAACACAAGGCACTCAAGTAGTGAACCCATGCAGCAAGATTACGACGGTGAAGTTGAGTGATGATAACTTCTTTGTTGTGGAAATTTCAAATATTGGCTGCAATAGACAAAAACGGGCTTGAAGCATTCATTGATGAGGATTCTGAAATCCCACCACAGTTCATCAGAAACACAGGAAATACTGAAGAAACAAGGTCAGTAAACACTGCTTATACTCTCTGGAAGAGACAAGATCGACTCATCATGTCATGGATTCTTGGCGCCATGACTGAAGACATTCTTGTCGATTTGCTTCACTGCACAACATCAAAAGAAATATGACAGAGTCTTCATCAAATGTGGATGAAGACTCTGCCATATTTTATGTGGTAACTACTGCTATATTTTAATATATGTGGATGATATAGTGATTACGGGTAGTTCTTTGGCTGAAACTCAACAACTTATCAATCTACTACACAACAAGTTTGCCTTAAAGGATCTCGGTACACTCAACTATTTCTTAGGCATCCAAGTGTCCTATCATACAGCTACAAGCATTTTTCTATCTCAAGCTAAGTATATCACCGATCTATTAAAAAGAGCTAAGATGCATGAAGCTAATGCCATTGCTGCACCTATGATCAGTGGCTCCATTGTTGCTGCCCGACAAGGTGATCCTTTAGCAGACCCATATCTATATAGAAGCATCGTTGGGGCGCTACAGTATGTTACACTTACAAGGCCCGAAATCTCTTATGCTGTAAACAAAATCTGTCTGTTCATGCATGCACCTACCATGATTCACTGGCAGTTAGTTAAACGAATCCTAAGGTACCTTAAAGGGACATTTGATCATGGATTACTTCTCACAAAACCTACTACATTAACTCTACAAGGATACTTAGACGCAGATTGGGCTTCCGACCCTGATGACTGAAAATCAACAACATCCGAATTTTGCATTTACTTAGGTAATAATCCTATATCATGGGGATCTAAGAAACAAGCAATAATTTCACGTTCAAGCATAGAAGCAAAATACCGTGCTCTTGCCCTCGCTGCCTCAGAGTTGATCTGGTTGAAAACATTGTTCTCGGAGTTGAGGATTCTGATCCCTAATCCACCAATTCTCTGGTGTGATAATCTTAGCTCAATCCATCTTAGTGCCAATCCGGTTCTCCATTCACGAACGAAGCACATAGAAATTTATATCTACTTCATTCGAGATCTTGTGATTTCTGGCAAAATTCGTGTACAACATCTCCCCTCTCTTGCGCAAATCGCTGACGCCCTCACAAAGCCTTTATCATTGGCACAATTTCAGATTCTGAAAAATCAAGCTCAATGTGAGTATCACTAAAATTGAGTTTCAGTTCTGTTGTTAGTAACATATGGGCTTAATTTTGTTAATGGGTCTAGTACAAATACATTTTCCTATAAATAACTCATGGCTTATATTGTAAATGATGATGAATTCAAGATAATACAAGCAAAATTCATTCCAATTCTTGATATTTTGAAAATGAGTCTCAAACTTTAACTTATTTTGATTTGTTTAATATATTTTTATCGTATCTCAACGCTAACCTATTTTACTTTTTTAAATGTATTTTTTTAGTTGAAATAAATAATTTTAATTTTGATGTCTAATTAAGTTTTTTTTACAAGATATGTCTAACTAAGTTTATATTATGGAACATATTTCTTTTAATAAATTAAATATATCGTTAAATAACTCTAAAAATCTTACGAAATTAAGCAGAAAAACAAAAAAAAAACCAACTCTAGGGTTATTACTATTATTATTATTATTTAGTCTAAACCCTATCAATTATTTCATACCAAAATATAATTTCTAACTCATTTGACGCAAGATAATATATTTTCAACCATTTTTCAAATGAAAACCTATCGAATGACAGAATTTCTTTTGCAACACACGTGAAAATTACAACACCTATACATGCAGGGTAGGTTTGGGGGTGTTGTGATGCTTGAGATTGTAAAGTCTGTATTTGAGGTGTAATGTGTAGGATGAGATTGGGTAGCTTGTGTTTGGTGTGCACCACTATGTAGGCTTGGTTTGAGTTATTTTATTTATTTTTATTTCTTTTTGAACTATCAACCTTGTCAAATAAGTGATTTGGAGGATAGTTAATTATTGGTATTTAACAAAGAGGTATAAATACCTGTCTTTTTTTTTTATCACTTGTCTTTAATGAGAAATTACTTCAGTCATTCGTGATCACTACCTTCATTCTCATCAGGCAAAAGACTATTATTTCAAAAACCAAAAATATTATCAGAATCCTAAGTTAAACGACTCAAAGCTCAAAATCATGACAACTTCATCTTTAGAAAGACATTCGGATTTAGTTTCAACAAATCAGAATTCACTGTTGATTAATCTGGGAAACAAGATCTCGAAGGTCGAATTGAGCGATGAAAATTTTTGCTTTAGAGATTACAAGTTATCACACCTCTGCAAGGTCATGGTTTGAAAAATTCATCGATCCAGAACTAGAAATTCCACCAGAATTTGTTAGATCATAAGGAGAATCATTCTCTACTTCAACTCATAATCAATAATTTCTTAACTGGAAGAGCCAAGATAAATTGATCACTTCATGGCTTGGATCCACGGTTGAAAAAATCTTATCACAGATGCTCGAATGTGAAACAGGCAGCGAGGTGTGGAAAATTCTATGTTGGAATTTTCAATAATGTGGGATCACACATGTATTAATTTAGTGTGTTCTTGCTATTATGTGTAAGATATGGTTTAATGGAGTAATTATAAAACGACCATGGTTAAAATGTATAGATACCATAAAATTATTTCCAAATTGATGAGGGGCCAAATTGGAAATATTCAAACCTTGTAACCGACCAGTGATTTTTGGTCGAGGGGTTATGATCCCCAAGTCAGTATCATCATTACGTCAGTTTCTCTCTCATCCCTTCAAGAGAACCTGCTTCTTCATCTACGAATTTACAAATTAGAAACAGAGGAGAATCGTGATTCATCTAGACATGGAAGATCAAACCTGTCAATATAATCGACATTCAATTATGGACAAGGTACGCTTCCGCTTCTTTCATATTAATTCTCTTGAACTGAAATGGAAATTCGATCTATGGCTTTTAAGTTTTGGGTTTTAATTTTTCTCAACAAGTGGTATCAGAGCCCTCTCATTGTTAATTCTTAAGAATTATGTTGAAATTGGTTACAAACTAGGGCTGTTTTTTATCTTCCCTCATGAAAATTTTCTCCGTTTTAGAATATTCGGTTCCCATCTTTATCTTTTGTGTCTTCTGTGTTTAAATTTGATGTTCCATTACTTAAGCAATCTTGATGTGGAATTGAAATTACTATACTTCATTTACTGTTGATGCAGAAATTTGGCCTTCGGGATTCCGCCAAATTAACACCCATCTTCTAGAATAAAAGGGATCAACGAGACCTGCAAAACAGAAGAGCACTAAAGACTGGTGTGGCTTTGGCCACACGGGCTATGATACTTAAGTCAGAATCGAAGTAATCAATTATGGAGAGTATGGTGTTTTGACGTACTTTTAAGGTTTGGTTTACCTTCCTATTTATGGAAGGCGGATCCTAATCCCTTTAGGAATTACAGAAGTCGAATCCTGATACATCTAGGAAACCTAGATATCTAATTCGGTGCGTTTCGTTATGGGCCTGTCGTTGGCTCAAGAGTCGGGATGCGATTAGTTCGGGCTAGAATGCACTACGGTCGGATTGGACCATTAGAGTTCTCTAGGAAGGTTAATATTTGGCAGGAATTGCAGACATTTTTTGTGGTGATAAATGTGTGACGATTATAAAGCTTTTGGGCATGTGAATAATGAATCGATCCAAAGGTAGGTTTGTTATTTGACGTGCATTGATTGTCAATATTTGATCACTACGCCAAGATTATCATTTACTGTCCAAAGACTTGATGTGGATGTTG